ATGAAAGTAAACTCAACTCATATATTAACTGAGAGTAAAGTGTATTAATTATGAAATAAAGTACATAGATGCTCTTTATTGTATATGACTAAAGATACAGAGATACAGCTTTTAGAAGCATTCTTGGTTGCTTGATGATGTATGTGAACAAACAATAGGGTATTGGCATGTATTCCTTGGTTGCACATGATTGAAATAGTATACTAACCAATATGAACTCTTGTCAGTAACCAAGAAAAGGCTTCAATGTAAAAACTGATATGTTTATATCAACATGCATTTCTGTTCTATTTTTGTATATTCTTTATATCCACATTAATAATTCCTTGTAACACATTGATAGATATAGATGTTGGGACAGTGTTAGGTCCATAGTGGTCACCAGTGCATGTAGTACACAATCTGATGTAGTACACTAATTAATATATGATTCATTCTCTGTAGATATTCTCAGCAGTACCACTTGCAGCTGATTTCAAACCATTTCATAGATTTAATAAGATAGAACAGCCAGCTAGGCAAGTAGATAAACTTGGTGGTAGATTCTCACTTAGTGCTAATCAAAGAGCATCTATACTTGGAGAGGAACAATTACCCGGTGAGCATTATCTAGGGTATTCAGATGTATTCTGGGTACCACAGCATAGGCATGGTCAAGGCCACAGGGGCTTGTTACTATGCAGAGCCTAAATAGCAAACACCAAACATAATAAGGATTGACAGTTTTGGGACCAGTGGTGTCACAGTGTTAGAATTTTTCAATTTTAACAAGCCTGCAAGATGTTAAAAAAAAAAGTAGCATGGTTTCTTGGATGGCTTACAGTTCGAACATGTGTGATACAACAAAAAGTTGTTTCTCTCATTTATTTTATATATAACATGCATCAATATAATGAAACTTTCCCATGCTGGATATTTGGAGCTTGCTTTAAGGAAGGAGCCCCTGTGGTCAAGGCCATACCTATTAAATGGTCATACTGATTTTCACTGATTTATTCCATATAATTTTTCAAAATTTTTATCAAGAGCAAATTGGAATTTTGATTCGGTTCAAAGGTTAATAGTAATAATCATTAGTTATGTGATCATACTTAATAATTCCTCACATTTATAACTTGTGTCATGTTGTTTTTTCTTCTACTAGGTCCATCCTCTATTTTTGATATTATCTCAAAAGAAGACAAAGATAAATTGAAATCAAATACATCAGCTGTCACTTCATCTGTTTCCATGCCAACATCAGTTAGTACATCTCGATTTTCCTCCTCATCCACTCCACTCTTCACTGGTAATGTGAGTGATTTCAAACCATTTGTGAATGATCCTGAAAAACAAAGACGATATGAAGAGTATTTACACAGCAGAAAGAGTGGTATTAAAGGTAATAATGTTTAATGAAAGAATGGAGTGTTATTTAAATCTTGTGACGCAATGACAAAAACCACCAGGACTTCCTTATACAAGTGTTAAATAATGGAAAATGCACCCACGAGATTCAGATATAAACCATAATTCAACAACATATGAACAACAAGTTAATTATGCTGACATTTTGATAAATTATTAAATTATCATTTTGCATTGTCCTTAAAATTAACACCCTTTTCTAATGCTTCAGGCACAGTAAGGGATGAAGCATTTGAAATTTTTGTTAGTGAAGAAAACAAAAACAAAAATTGCACACCGATCAGGAGGAAAAATGCATTCTCTAAGACTTTGCAGTATAAAAATTGTTTCACTGTACCACAACACATGAACATAGAAAAATCTTGGTTGATTTTGTAACACGTCTAAAATCAAGCAGCATGTTACACATCTGATTAAAACAACATAAAATAAAGTGAAGAAAAGTGAAACATTACACTAAAAAAATTATATTAATTAATCAGGTTTCATGTTGGCTGACCACTTTCATTGTACTCCATATTATTTCAGTGACTGGCGTCAAAGATTGAAGATACAATTGACTCTGTATAGATTAAGTTTAAGAGCAAAAGACTTAATTCAACCAATCAATCATGACAAATGTAACATTATATCTCCTACCAGATAATGATAACTCTTCTGGCACAATGACCGAGTGGGAAAAGGAACTTGAGAAAGAAGAGTTTGCCCGCTCTGCTGCCCTCTATCAGCCACTGCGAGGTATGATGGCATCACGGTTTACAAGTGCCAAGTACAGTGATGATACTGATACGGTGGATGTACCAAAAGAAGCAGAGGTATTTTAATCATTAAGTGTGCAAATTCTGTCATAGTTAGATATTAGCAATGCAGATAAAAAGATGAGGAAATACAATCTTCAAAATCATGCTATGCCATTGAAAACCCACAGTATAAATAACATCATGTTTCAATGTAAGTTCTACACTTGTGTCAGTCAAATGTCACCACAGCTGCATACACTTATCTGTATTACATATCAACACAGTTGCATACACTTATCTTCCTCACATGTCACCACAGCTTCATACACTTATCTTCATAACATGTCACCACAGCTGCATACACTTATCTTCATCAAATGTCACCACAGCTGCATACACTTATCTTCATCAAATGTCACAACAGCTGCATACCCTTATCTTCATAACATGTCACCACAGCTACATACACT